CTAATAATAACTAAGAAACAATACTAAATCTAATAATAATTATAGACTCAAGAAAACATTATGATAATTATTTTATAAAACATCATTCAGGTCATAATTATTAAGGTTTGCTTGCTGGCTCCAAGCTGCAAATCGAGAATTATCTATTTCTCCAGCATGTTCATTGTCATCCAGTAAACGATGATGACTTCCTCCAACTTGAGCATCACATTCGATACATTTTCCTACCTGCATAGCTCCACCACACTCTCCAATATGGTAGTAGTGTCCATTAGGACACTTGTACCATGCTCCTTTCTTACCACCAATGGCAGCTACAATTTGCCTTATTTCCTCAGGTGTTGGTGCATCAAGGTTGTTTTCTCTACAAAATTGAGAGAGCATTTTGCATTCAATTTCATAAACTGCCTTTGTCATTTTAAAATCTGAATTAGGTTTATAATCTGTTAGATTCAGCTTTTTGACTTGACTTTCATATCTCATCCATTTACTATGGACTAGAAAAGATTTTGGCTTTCTGTCAACTTCGTAAAACTTTCTTAAAAAATGAAATCGTCTAATCTCACACTGAATATCACTGATGACTTGTTGTGGTAAACATTGCAAATTTTTAACATGATGTAATCTCAAAAAATTGTGTAGCCTGCTGATTTGCTTGGAAATGCAAATAATATCACTACAATCAGAGCCAGTATCAAACATTTCTTGCAATTCATTACATTCAATAGCAGAAGAAAGGAGTGTATGCAAAGATTGTAAAGTTACATCAGGTAAATCATTAATGTGACGAATGCTACGATATTTAAGTTTATCATTCCATTCTAAAATATCCCTCTTCATTTTATCACGATCAAAACAACTTAATGTTCTAAATTCCTTACTCTTGATGGAACCCATGTCTGCTTTAATTCTTTTGATAACATCACCATAACGATGGCTTTTTGTAACTTTTGTATTGCAACGTGGACAACATTTCCACTTGACAACTTCATGATTATCATTCATATCCATATGGGTATCAAAACCAGACACTTCAAAAATATGATAGCACTCTGTCAGCATTATAAAACGAGACTCTGGTTCACTTTCTTCACCAAAAAGAATACTAAAAGCTTCATTGTCTGGATCACAAACTCTACATAGTGGTGGACAAGGCTCATAACAAAGGCCTAAACAAGGATGTCCACATTGTAATTTAAGCTGACAGGGCTCATTGCAGCGAAGCCTATCACAAATATCACCACACCTTTTAGTACATTGGTGATGAGGACACTGCCATTCACAGGGCTCAGCACAGGGAATGCATGGAGAATCACATTTATGGCCACATGGTCCATGGATACATGAACTAGGACATTTTAATTGACAGGGAGGGCAATCACTGGCACAATTCTTTGAGGAGCATTGGTGACCACATAATAGAATACGTGTGCACTTTTCTTTACAAGGAATATGGAGTCTACCTTGGTTACATGAGCCACATGTTCCTTTGCAGAAATGCCCACAAGCCAGTTCTAGCTTACATGGTATTTTACATTGTGTCATATATTCATCAGGTCTACGGAAACACTCTGTTTGAGCTTCATGGCCACATGGTAACATTTTCATCACTAGCTGACGACACTGATAATTATTACAATTTTCTCCACATTTTCTTTGGCATCTGTGACCACACTCTAACTTTTTAGTACAATCTTCTTGGCAAGTAAAGGTATCTGGTGACCAATGACATGGTACCAACTGCTGATGATTACAAGAAGGTATGACCTTTTGTACTAATACTTCACATGGTAGACACTCATCAGAACATTGTCTTGGGCAAGGATGATTATAAGAGCAAATTGTACGGCTGCATGGTTTTGAACATTTCTGCTTATGCTCCAAGTCATCTGGATGACAGCGTCTAGGACAAACATGTCCACAAGACATTCGACAGTGACACCATTCCAAACAACCACCATCTCTTACTTTGTCAAAATCACTAGGAAGTTTTACATTGGTACTTGTTTTATGCAGATGACACTGAAGAGGAAGTGACAATCCAAAAGACTCATTATCTAGGCAGTTAATGATTTCCTCCCATTTTTGTGATTCTTTTATGAAGAGCTCAAAATTACCAATGACATACAAACCTTTTCTAGCACGTGATAAAGCAACACAAATACGATTTTCTTCTTTCATGAAACCAGATTTGACAGAGCGAACCAAGGAAAGGATTATAATATCATTCTCTTCTCCTTGAAAGTTATCAATTGGAACAATACGAGGAGAAGATTCAAAGGAAAAAGTTTTCATATGCTCTTTAATGCATGCAACTTGCCCTGTGTAAGGAGTGAGTATGGTTAATTGATCTGGCTTGTAGCCTTGAAAGAGAAGATATTCAGCCAAACGCACAACAAAATCAGCTTCATGACTGTTTGCAGGACTCATCAAACCTTCCATTGGCTTTTCAGGAAAAGTATGATCGACAAAAAACATATTTGTTTTGATACCTTTAATTGGTTTATAACTCTTGACATTCTGATGGTCTAGAAGCTCTTCGTATATATGAGGACGAACCAAGTTGGCAATTTCTGGTCTCATTCGATGTTGATATTTTAACTGAACAGATGACAAACCATTCTTAATGAGACGTTCAAAAAGTGAAATCTCAAGACCATGCTTTTTTCCTATAGTAAAGTCATTGGCTTTTGGACGCAGTTGTTTGTGATCACCAATCAAAACAAGGTGCTGAATGTGATTTGTCAAAGCAGCTACAATGTACCCTTCCATTACTTCAGCTGCTTCCTCTACTACTACTATTTTTGAGCGAACTTTTTGCAACACCTTAATATTCATTGAGGCACCATTAGTGGTCACTCCTACAATATCTGCTTTTCTCAGTGCTTGAAAAGTAATAGCATCATCTTCATCTTCATACATTTCCTTTACTTTTTGAAGATTCTTGAGTTCATGTTTTAGGCATTTACACTTCTCTATTAAGCACATTTTCAATAATTCACATTTTTGATCAAGCCGTAGCTGTCCTTGCATATGCAAAATTCTAAATTCATCTGGGTCTGACCTTTGAAGCTTTTTAAAAAAGTACTTTAGGTCTTCCTCACTTTTTGCTGCATTCAATACTTCTGCTCCTTTAAGTTCAGCATCTCTATCTTCATCTGCATCAATTTTACGTTCATCTTCTTGAAGATCTGTATAATCTCTCAAAAAGCTTTGGGAACTTTTTGAAGCTTTTTGAGGGTTGATTTTTATGTTTAGCCATTGGAAAATATTTTTAATACTTTTTATTTCTTCAATTTTAAAATAATCATGTATGATGCAACCTCTAGTACATCTAAAGAGTTCTTTTGGATGAAGAAATGAATAGTAGAACATTTTATTCAGCTCATTATAAGGTGCATCTTTAGAACAAAGTTCTCTAAGTGCATCATATTTGCATTTTGCAAAAGTCAAATCTCCTTTTCGAAAAGAGATACTAGGAGGAATAATTGACCTAGCTTTTCGTGACCTTTGTCTTAAAGATTTTCTATTTTGCCGAATTTCTCGTTTTTTATCTTTAATATTGAGCTTCTCATTGCATATTCTCACACTCTTTGATCTTCCACCAATTCGCACAAGATTTTTACTTATTCCTAAGTCCAAGATTTCTTCTAGGAATTGGTCTAGGGCATGATTAGTTTGACACATGACAAGTATTGGTGCTGGTTCTTCATAATTCCATTTTCGTCTGTTTTGAAGCATAGCCTTTACAAATTGTACTCCAATAAAAGTCTTTCCTGTTCCAGGAGGACCCTGAATAAGAGCAACTTCAGACGACAGTGCTAGTCTCAAGGCAGCTACCTGAGACTCATCAAGTTTCCCAAGATCCACTAAACTTGTTTTATTTTCACTATCACTGATTTTATCTTGAAATTCTTCAACTACTTCTTTTACAGTGAATTTTTTCTGGGAAACAACGATACTATCACAGCCATGAGGACATTCTCCAATTGTATTGCAATCACAAAGGATACTTTTTAGATCTAAAATATAGCGCCCTTTATCATTTGTCTGTTCACAAATTATTTTTTGTGCATAAACTGGCATTTGAACAGCTGATTCACTTTTGACAAGATACTTTTTAGCTAAGTCAGGTAAATTGTTTTCTGGGTTTGACTTCATAGCATGTAGTTGTTTAACAACTGAAAAATATGCCTCAAAATATGCTGGTGATTCAATCATTTTGTACTTCAAATGATTGCTAATACGTTCAACACTAGAATCTAGCACTTTTATAGCAATGACTCCACTCTTTAATTCTTTAACATTACGATTGGCAACAGTGGCAAATAAAAGAGTGTGGAAGTTATCATTTGAGAGGCAGAGGAGTGAGCCATATGTAAAACACTTGGAATGATCCCAGTTCACTTTTTTTCCTTTGGGTAGATGAAAATTGATTTTGTAGACAAGATCCCCACCACAAATATCTCTGTTACTGAATCGAACGCTTTCATATGTGATAGCACTACTATAACCATTGTTATCTTCATAATATTCTTCACTGTTCTCTTGAAGGTTGCGTAGCACATCACATAAAGGGCGAATGAAATCCTGGCGTAGGAGTTCAAAATGGGTTTCAAGATATTCTAAGTCAGAAGAAA